CCAGCCGCTCTTCAGTTTGGTGGACTTCGAGTCAGTGGTTGACAGGATACGGAGCACTGTTGCTGAGGTACGGAGTCTGGGCGGCAGAGCGGACTGGGCTGCGGCGCTGGAGTGGTGGGAATGACAGGGAAGGGGGCTCGAATCAGTGGCTGAATGAGCGAATGCTGCGGCAGCTTTCATGTCCTTTCAGGCTCCGAGCTTCCCGTCACCCCAGCCCTCGCCGACAGGGCACTCACAAACACCACTCACTCGCGGGGGAAGAGGGATCCCCTCCAGATTTGGTTTCACTCGCCTTGGGAACTGAACTTTTCATCACGCTTTTAGTGTAACCGGGGGCGTGTCTTTGCTGCATTTTTGAGGACCCAGCAGGATGGGGTGGGTAGGGAGCTGAGAACGCAGCTGCGTGGAGCTGATTCCGTAAGGAGTTGCGTGGCGTTGGCCACGGGTCTGCGTGTTTCCCGGGCAGTGTCTGCTGGCGCGCCGCCGGCGGGGAGCACGGGCAGGCGCCGCACGGAGCTCGGCGTGTTCTCGCACGCTTTATACGGCGCTGCATATCGGCGCTTTCTTGGCGTGCGCACAGGCGCTTCAGGAGAGCTGCTCTTCCCGCTGCGCGGCTTTAGACAAAGCATTTGATGTGTCTTTTCATTTCCTCACCAGCATCTGTGGAAGCTGATGGTGGAGGAGTCGGATTTACTAGGACAGCTGAAGGTAACGTAACTGCTCGCTTGGTTTTGCTGAAGCGCCTTCGTTTTCTTTTCTCCCTTCGGGACGTCACTGTCTTAGATGTTGCACTTCTTTGAGGTAAAGAAGATGGATCAAGATGGGTGCTGTCAGCTGGGGAGCTTAAAATTCCCACTCAGTCTTTGATGAGCTCATTAAACTGTGTGTGTCTCCACAGATTATAAAAGACTTTTACCTTCTGGGAAGAGGGGAGCTGTTCCAGGCCTTCATTGACACTGCACAGCACATGCTGAAAACCCCACCCACGGCTGTGACTGAGCACGGTGAGTGCTGCCCCTCCCTGTCCCCAGCTCTCCGCACCGCGCACCGACAAGCTGTCCTTAGCGTGGGAAGGACAGCACCTGGGAATTAGAACGTCTCCGCGTACATGAAAATCCCATCTCGGAAGCGTCCAGGTGGCAGGTTTCTGTCCACATTTGAAACTGGAATTCAGTGAAAACAGTGGAATTAGTGTGTCAGTGTTGACCTTAGTGCTGAGCATAAACAGTTAACGGGTGCAAGACGAGCAGGAGCTGCATCATCCTGTGTAACCCTAACCCTAACCTGTGCTCTCTCCTCAGACGTCAACGTGGCGTTTCAGCAGTCTGCCCATAAGGTGCTCTTGGATGACGACAACCTCCTTCCTCTGCTTCACTTAACCATCGAGTATCACGGAAAGGAGCATAAAGGTACCTCCCTGCGTTCTTAGTAGTGAGTTAAGAGGGGAGGTGATGACCTTGTTTTCAAGTCCTGACGTTTACCTTCCTCTGAAGTTAACGAAACACCTCGTTCCCTTTGCAGCCCTGTGTGATGGCTCCTCTTCCCCTGTTCTTTCCCCTTTTCTTCCTGGCCGTGCTTGTCTTGACTGAGCAGACGACTTAATTCAGCCCTGCATTTGTTTTCAGATACTTCTCAGACTCGTGAGGGGCCTTCCCGGGAGTTATCGCCACGTGAAGCCCCCGCATCGGGATGGGCAGCTCTGGGCCTTTCTTACAAAGTCCAGTGGCCGCTGCACATTCTCTTCACTCCTGCTGTTCTGGAGAAGTGAGTACTGGCCTCGGCCGCCGTACAGCCGGCCGCAGGTTCCCTCATCTCGGGCATTCGCTAGCGTGTTGGGGTGGAGAGGAAGGTGGGGCGGCAGTACATCAGCTTGCTCCGGGAGCGTGCAGTGACTGTTCCTACTCGTTGAGGGGACGTGTAACGACAGGGCGAGGTGCGGACGATCCGCGCTGCGGCAGGAGCAACGGAAGCACTGTCAGCTCTTCCCTCCTGAGGGTGAAATGAATGTTTTCGGGCCGGTAGCCAATGCCAGCGGCAATCTGTCCTTTGAGATGGGCCACTGCTGCCCTGGCAGCAGGCAGCCACCTCCTGTTCTCCTTCTCCCGCCCTGCGTCGTCACGGCCCCCCGCGCCTGCACCCCGGAGGCATGCGGCGTAAACATCGTCGTCCGCCCCGCCCCCCCGCGCCTGCACCCCGGAGGCATGCGGCGTAAACAGCTCGGTGTTTTTGACTGCAGGTACAACGTTGTGTTCAAATACCTGCTGAGTGTGCGGCGAGTCCAGGCCGAGCTGCAGCACTGCTGGGCTCTGCAGATGCAGCGCAAACACCTGAAATCAAACCGAACTGATGCCATCAAGTGGCGTCTGCGGGACCACATGGCATTCCTTGTGGACAATCTTCAGTATTACCTGCAGGTTAGGGATACAGGGAAAGGTAAACTGTCAGCTGATCGGGAACGGGCAGAAATTCACAGAGGGGGCACTGACGTACGTCGTCTCAGGGTTCAGCTCCTTTGTACCTTAAGGACAGCAGAATTTCCTTTGGAACTTTCTCTGAGTTCCCATACTTAGTGCTACAGTTACAAAGTTTTTGGACCTGGGAAGCCATATGTGCTACTGGAGATGCAGGAGTTTTGGCTCTCTGGCGCTGCTAAGTGTTTTTGGGAAGCCACATTCATCTCCGAAGCAGCATCAAGATACCACCCTGGCTCTCCCCTTGCCCCTTTTAGTGAACTTAGGGTTAAGTAAAAAGTTGTTGGTTTGGGGTTTTGTTCAGGTTTTGGGGTTTTTTAAGAGTTGAAAGAAACCATATTCTGACCATTTGAAGTGAAAAAGAGACTTTTCCAAGGGAAACACCAGTCCCTGGTGTGATTTTGTGAGGATTGCCTGTCGTTCTGTTCACAGCCAGAGCAGCTGAATTCCCCAGAGGAATCTGGCTGAGCTTTTGCACTGCAGCCTTTGCCTTGAGATTCCAGGTGGCATCTCCCACGGGAGAATGCAGCGCTGGCTGCAGTCGGGTAGCTCTGCTCACAGTAGCTCTGTACATTTTCAGCAGCTCATCTTCAAGTGACCATTTCCCTTCCTACCTGAGTAACTGCCATCAGAAACTGTCCACCCCCCCAGGTACCACTGCTGTATGTAATTCCCGGGTCAGGAGGCAGAGGGAGGGTGACCCTCAGCCTTGGAGGGAAGAGCAGCAATAAGGGAAGTAGGTTTCTCACACACAACTGGCTGAAGGACTCCCGTTCCCCAGGATGCTGACGGGGCTTTCTGTCTCCATCAGGTGGACGTACTGGAATCTCAGTTCTCACAGCTTCTGCAGCAGATAAATGCCACGCGAGACTTCGAGAGCATCCGACTGGCTCACGACCATTTCTTAAGCAACCTCTTGGCTCAGTCTTTCATCCTCCTAAAGCCTGTGAGTAGGTCTGGTCACCTTTGCCTAGGAATTCTCCAACTGCCCCAGGAGTTACGTCTCTGGACAGAGAGGGCAGTCGTCTGTTCTATAGCTCAGTGCCGAACAGACGGTTGCGTTCAGGTTGCCCCGTTTACAGCCAGTGAGTGTGGGTGCTGGCACTTTAAATGGAGGTTATCCCCGAGTCCAGGTCTCCTCACTCACTCCCTTTGGTCACTGTGCTTTTCTCACGGGCAGTTTTGTTGGAGCAGTGCTAATTAGCATAGTGCTGGGAACTGTGTTCCTGAGGGGCTCATTATGAGCTGCATCGGCGTGGGAAAAACTCCCCGTTACGTCAGAGAACAGGCACAGTTGAGATGCTCCTGGAGGGGGTTTTTACTGGTTTTGTCAAAAATACGTCACCGTTACCGGTTATTTCTAACAGTGTAGCCTCACAGACACATTCCCAAGGGCAGCTGGTGCGGGTGACCCGGCGGGACAGCACAGCTCTTCCTTTCCGTCGCGTACCCTCGGAGAGGCCGAACGCGCGTTACCCACCCTGACACCACGAAGCGTCAGCTGCGTCTCCGGGGCATCTGGGCTCCATTCACGCTCCTGAACGCAAGTTACCTTGGCCAGGCGGTGCCAGAGATTCCAGGGTCTGGGGACAGGGAAGCCAGGGCCTTGAGCTGTTGCTGTTCGGATTCTCCCTCTTGGTCCCGACGCCGCAGTCCTGGCCCGTGGGTGGGACTCCGCGCCGGTGTGGAGGGCTCGTGCCAGTCGCCGCTTCCCCCGCGATGTCTGTGAAGGGGGGGAGGGGCAAGATGCAGTGTAACGTTCAAGTCCCTTTTCGGTCGAAAAGGTTACAGAAACACTATGTACGGGGCTTCCCCGTCATCCCTACTGATGGAAAAGGTGTTGCCAGCAACGTCGCGGCTGTGAATGCTGCAGTTTCTCAGGTTCCACGAACAGCTTTGTCCGCGTTGGAGTGTGTAAACCCTGCCTTCTGCTTTTACCCCGCACAGGTTTTCCACTGCCTGAATGAAATTCTGGATCTTTGCCACAGTTTTTGTTCCCTGGTCAGTCAGAACCTGGGCCCGTTAGACGAACGGGGAGCTGC